TATTCCAGAACTCTACTCAATGCAAGCAATGCAAGCACTGGAAATACGACCGTAATGGCAGGGACTTGAGTATGATTTTCAGTGCTTTAAATCATACTCAAGTCCTGACTTGAGCATTGAGTAGAGTTCTGGAATACAACCCTCAGAGTCGCATTCCAGAACTCAGTCAGGACTTGAGTATTGCAGTGAGCACTGAAAATTATACTCAAGTCCTTGCCATTAGGGTCGTATTTCCAGTGCTTGAAATCATACTCAAGTCTGCTCAACTCAGGATTGCACTGGCAACACAAGCACTGGAAATACGACTCTAACGGCACTTGAGTATGATTTCGAGCGCTTTAAACCATACTCAAATTCTGACTTGAGCATTGAGTAGCGTTCTAGAATACGACCCTAAGATTGCTTATTTTAACAGATGAGACCGCCATGTGCATGGTAAATAACACGTCGTGATACGATTTCACTATGAAAGAAAAGGAGAACGAATTTCGAATGGGTAACGTTAACTGCATGGACTGTGAATTGTTTTTGTGAGGTCATATTACGAATTTGACAGGCAATCCAACTCTAAGAGCTCGTAGTTGGCCCCAAGATTGCTATTGCTAATGAATCTCTTTGATGTTTTTGTGTTGTTATGGATACATGAAAAACAATGGTGTCAAAAATAAAAACGTCAATTGCTTGAAAACATTAGAATACACACATCAAAAGTGTCTAGAGATCAAGTGAATATTTTTGAAATAAAAATTATTTAAACAATATTTACCAAATCCAGTCTTCCAGGACGACTTCTTACTTTAATGCTTATGTTTTATTTAACCGCTTACCCCTATATTTAGTTAAAATAAACTAAAATTGATGTTTTTGCAAATTGTGGGAAAAAACTCAAATTAACGGCGTCAATGAAATGACAAAAAAATGGCGAAAATGATGACTTTGCTCATTTTTATTGTAAAGATAAGAAAATTAGTAATCTGTATTTCCACCATTAACACGAATCACACAATTACAGCGATTTGGCATGCTTAAGATGAGTTCATCAAAATCACTTTGAGGAATGGCCGCCCATGTGTTTTGTAACAAGTCAAAATATTGTTGTAGAGTATGTACGGTATGCATACTCGGCACAGCTTTTCTTTGAAGCATATCCTATGCGTGCTCAATTGGATTGAGGTCTGGCGATTGAGCAGGCCACGGCAGAACGTTGATACGAGCTTCGGCAAGAATGCGTGTTACGACTCTAGCCGTGTGTGGACGTGCGTTGTCATGCATTAGTTGAAATGAATCACCCAACTGGCCTCACAATCACATAACAATCCTCTCTGCGTAAACTTGAGCATTGAGGTTACCCCTGATCCAAATGAGATCGGTTCTTCCGCCGATCCAAATACCGGCCCATATCATTATTGTTCCCCCACCATATGGATGAACTTCCTGACAATATCTCAAACGTTCATGATGTCCAGATGTTCTCCAAACTCGAGTACGTCTTGTATCCGGTCTCATACCGAAGCGGGATTCATCCGAAAAGCACACATAGCGCCAGTCTTCTTCCTCCCAGTTTCTGTGTTCGCGAGCCCATCGTAAACGGGTCCTGCGATTGCAGGGTGCAATAGGTGGAACTCTGAGCGGCCTTCGGGATCGCAGACCCACTTCACGTAAACGATTTCGGATTGTTTGATCGCTTATTAGCAAGCCTGAGGAGCTGTGGAGCCTCGTAACCAACATCATGGCGGTCATGGTACGATTCCGTCGAGCAGTATTTTGGATATACCGGTCCTGTCTGCGAGTCGTGATGCGAGATCGTCCTCCATGTCGCTCGGTCACGCTGCCCGTCATGCGATAGCGCGTCCAGAGGCGACTTATGACGCTCTGTGTAGTGTTAAGAGTGAAAGCCACAGCACGTTGCCTGGAACCAGCTTCCAACATTCCGACGGCTCGCATCATCACTTCTCGGGCTAAATGATGTCGTCTCTCCATAATAATGTAAATTTTTTCGGTTCCGATGCAGATATTGTAATGATTTTGTCAAAACCATTGACTTACAAATAAATGGACGACGGGTCTAATACAAAAACTACGAAAAAAATGTCCCAAGTCAACCTATTCGAAATTTAAATAAATTGTAATGTCATCGCAGTATCGCGCTGTCAGTCGAACAAATGAAGACTAAAGCGGAGTTTGGCGCTCTGTATACGATTTTAGCGCCTTACAAGTGCGGACACTTTTTAGCGCGGACCCGACGTCCATATAATTGTAAGTCAATGGTCAAAACGCTATAACTCATTTTTATACAAAACCACATTGACAATCGATTTCTTTTAGAATTCTTATTATCGAATTTTAAACAATATTCCTTATTTAAATGTTAAAACTCACTAAAAAGTATCAATAGCGATACAAAAAAGTTAATATAATTAACCCTAATTGCAGCAATACTCTTAAATGTACTTGATCCCTAGACACTTTTGATGTGTGTAATAACGCGTTGAAAACATGATTTTTTTTATTTGTTTTTAATTTTTCCTGCTACGCCTTATGCCGAGTTTCGATAATAAAGTAATAAAATAATGGAGGCCATCCTATAGACAATATAGGTCGTTCTGCCTCCCTTCCTTTTTGTGTTCCATGAATCAAAAAACATCACAAACAAATTAAACTTATTCCGTGCACAATGGAAACTATCGAAGGTCTACTATAAGGCTTTGTAACGAAATCTGCATTTTGTACGTTTGCCCCTACATGCTTGACTTGAGTTTTCCATATGCAACTATCTCTGACATAGATGTTTTATTGCTATGTGCTTTGTTCTTCTAAGCAGTTCCGGATTTTGAGCTAGTTTTACTGCGGCATCATTATCAACTTTCAAAATTGGAATTTGCTTTAGAACAGACCTATCATTAAATAGCTTTTTCAGCCACATGATTTCGCGTGCTAGCCTCTGTTTCTGCGACAATTTCAGACTCAATCGTAGATATAGCTACTGACTTCTGCTTTCGACTCGCCAAAGCAATTGCCCCGGCGTATAGACACAGTATGCCACTTGTAGAACGTCCATATTTGAGATCTCCTCCGTGATTAGAATCGCTGTAGCAGTCCTGTGGCCTTACCATGACCACTTATTACAGATCAGTAAAGGTTCGTAGCTACAAAAAACCAGGATGGTGATATACACTTCATTAAGCGCTATCTCGCAACGATTCATTTTAGGTCCTAAACTGAATCGTAATAAGAGTTCATGGTAAGGCCACAGTATTCCCACCTCAAAATTCTTTTTATATGTTATACCATACCTTGACGTACCTTGTAGATAACGCGTTATACGCATATACCTTTTAATACATCCTTTTTGGAAAAGTTTTCTAAAGTTCTCGATACAACATTATCAGCGTAGGTAAAATCTGGTTGCATTCCAATCATCATAGCCAAGAACACCAACAGCCTGTTTATAACGATAAGACTTCTCGTCTACAATCTCTTTATCTGACTGCCATTGTTCAGAATCTCTGATCATTGGTGTAGTGACTGATAGCTTACAACTACTCATACCAAAACAAGTTAAAACTTTCTCAGTGTAGTGCTTCTGTGTAATGCAGAGCTATATCTTTATCCCGCAGTGGCCACCCCAGTAGGGATAGAGCGCTACTAACGCGAGAGCGACATAAAGCGCGAGATACTGCTATTCTCGCAGAGATTTCGCGCTTTGTCGATAGTAGTCTGGAGGCTTTGGGGTTACCTTAAACCTTCGCTTCAGCTCTGCTATAAATTTATCTGCATCCGTTCGATCTGTTGACTAGACCATCGGCAACATGTAATACTAAGATGATTTTGTACTGTGCTCTTTTTCTGATAAACATGCAAGAATCTGTTTGACTTTGTTGAAAACCAATAGATTTCAAATAATCTACAATGTATTTATTCCATCTTAACCCATATAAGAGTCAGCTAATGTTTTTCGCGATCGATTTCTTAGTGAAGAACCAAGGTTTAGATTTAGAGGGTAGTTCAGGTTGGATTTTTGCCATCATTTTTACCCACAGTTTGGCGGGAAGATTGCCAACGAGAATTCTAGGTGTTTGGCATTTGTGGAAGGGCAACAGCTTTAGAGTCACGGGGAAAACACCGGTCATAAACGTTACTACCGATCAAGATGGCTTCATTTGTAAAGGTCCGCACTTTCATCACATTCCCCTGTGGCCGGGGATTCATACTAAGAGTCGTATTCTAGAACTCTACTCAATGCTCAAGTCAGGATTTGAGTATGGTTTAAAGCATTCGAAATCATACTCAAGTCCCTGCCATTAGGGTCGTATTTCCAGTGCTTGTGTTTCAATTGCAATTCTGACTCGAGCATTGAGTAGAGTTCTAGAATACGACCACAAGACCACTTCGATATTTTCCATATTATGAATGGAATTTGTACAAAAGATCTTTAATTTGCAGCTTAATAGAAAAGTTGTCTTTAGCATGAAATAGACGGCGTTAGGCCAACAGCTACAGTCGTAGAGGGAGAATAACTCTACGGCTATAGTAGTGTAAAAGTTTTTTTAGTTAAGTAACATACAACCAAAAAATTGAATTGTCAAATTTTTTATTTATTTATTGAGCTTTGGCTACGAGGACATCAGGTGAAAACTATAGCAAAAGAATTTAAATGAATTAATTAAACCTAAAACCACAACGTAATAATTAATGGTAAAAAGAAAGTATTTACAAAGGGCCAAAAGTATTAATGAAAAAATTAAAAATAATATTCAACAAACTCGTGAATAAATATTTTTATAATAACCATTGACTTACAATTTGTAAGTCAATGATAATAACGCTTTATTTTTAGACCATATTTATTAGTGAAGAAAGAGATAAAATTATTTGCTAGTATTAAGCGAATTCCTATTTTTCTGTTATGTTACACAATTATATTCGCTAAGAATGAAGCGAAAGAAAGCGCAAAAGTTTGCCAAGTGAATTGTCAAAGTGACATAACATTTGTTGTGAAAATGGCGACTACCGGAGTTGGGTTTCGTTGGTTAGATATTTTAGAAAAGGAATTCGACAAAGCATGTGTGGAACTAGACACTTCTTTGTGTAAGTAATACATTGATTTACATTGCTGTTACAGAAAATTATCAATGACCAATCCTCTGTGCAACTTTTTGCTGTCTTATTTATTACATATGGTTGTCATATGAAAATGAAAACGGATTTTTCTTTTATCATCCTGCTTTTCTTATAACAAATGACCTTACAAATAGTCGACAGCATTTGGTAAGTCTTTCAAGGTAATGGATATTCGTTGGTGTACATAGTGCTGGTTTTTGCATTTACGTACATTTTGTGCGGTCGTTTTGCACACGTTAGAACAGTTTTCGTATTGTTTTGATTATTTTACGATTATTTACAATCTCAACGTTTCTACGTGTTTACTCTCAGACTCTTAATATAATAGTATGTTGTTTTTATAGTCGTCATAATGTAAGAAAACCCCAATTTGGCAACTTTGAATGCAATCAACAAAATGATAAGCAAACAATTATAATTTATTGTTATTGAACTAAATATATTGACTAATCATTATGCTATAATCACCGATTTGGATACTTAAGACACAAGTAAACAATTTTACTTTATGTATCCTCTGTAGCCTGTTTTTTTTTTATAATTTGGCTTCTGTCCCACTGAGGACAATTCTGCCAGTGTCCGGGTTGAAAGATACACAATATATTTATTAAGATTCACTCAAATGACGATGATTGGTTGCACCATCCTTTGGACAAATACAAAACACGAGGTTATTGAAGATGGAGTAATATGGCAGTTCTTTGCGCAAACGTGTTGCCCGCTTGCAGGCAGGTAGTGATTGCAGTCAAAAAATATTCTATCGACTATTGACTGAATATTGGTCATGCTTATGGAATAAACAACTGAACTTGTTTTATTTGAATCATTCTCGATCCATTATTCATCCAATTACGGAGCACAAGTTCATAAGAATTTTGTTAGTTCATACATACATACATACACTGTATTTAGAACTATATTTATGAAAAATACAAAGAGGAGATATTTTAAAGATTTTTATTTTAATTCAATATAGATAATCAAATCTGGCTGTTCTTGTTAAAATGTATGTGAATAAAAATTGATCTTATTAGTATTATGCCAACTGTCAAAATTAGAACAATAATAAGAGTAAAGAAGGCTATAACGCAATTAGTAATCATTAGAACGTCACAACATTCACAATTCAGTAACTTTTGGCAAAAATTTCTCTCCTTTCGCAATCTATTAACAAAACTATCAACAACTACGTAACTATTTAAAATTTTGTGATAACTGGCAACCCTACAAATATCATTTTACTCTGCCTTCAAAAAAACAGACTATAGATTACTAACTTCCACCACTAACCTTAATTGAGATTATATAAACATACAATAAATATTTTCACAATTTGGGATAGTCTAGCACATATATGTAAATAAAAGGTTATTTAATAAGATTCATGTACGTAGGTTACATTTTTATTCAGAATAAATGTATCTTAAATTATTAACTTAGCTTTAAAAATACATAAATTTTACTGAAGCACTATATTATTATAACAGTTAGTAATTAACAAATATAAGTCAAATAGCCTGAAATAAATTATTATTATACATATAATATGATAGAACATATTTGAAGTGTTATTTTCGAATAAATTCCAAAATAAAATGCAATTTTCAGTTAGTCCAAAATGTCTTAAAAACAATTACGTTCTCAATATAATTTATTTTTTAAATAATAGTGTTATAACCAATTAATTGCCGAAGTTCACTGAGGAAAGACCGGGCGGAGGGGAGAACGACATCTTAGAATTTTGTATGAATTTATTACCTTTCTGCAATTGGTTTTAAAAAATGTATGTTACTTAAAGCTACTGTGACGTGCGGGCTGGGCCGCGGTTGAAGGATCTAGTGGCGCGCATCGGGGGGCGCTGCGCTAGTGCGACACGGACGTGGCGGGCGACCCGCGGGGCGCTCAGTGTTGCCGCGTTAACACACTGAGTTAATTCAAGTTCACTTAAAAAAAAAATTTTAAATATTAAAACAAATATTGAAAAGAGCCCAGTACTCGGAACCCTAAAGGCAGATTAATATTTTCATATTTCAGCCTTTATTACTATAGTGAGATAGACTGGTTGAGATACTAGCTCAACTGATGATTTTGGCTCATCTTCTGATGAAAGTTAATAAACCATGAAGTCTTTTATTTTGCTTAAGAATTTAGCTATTTATTGTCCTTGTGACCTTTGTTAATGTAATGCACTACAACAACAACTACAGGTTGTCATATGTCAGTGTAATTATTTAAAAGACTTACTTATTATTTATATTAAATTATATAAATATATATATACATGTTGTTCTATGTACAACTGAAAACCAATGACCCGAAAAATAATCTAAGTTATCACTGACTTGATAGATTTCGAATCGATTTCTCGTGAGAATCAATTGATATGGTTACCAATATGTTTACTTACATCCCAATTTACGTTGTGATGACAAGTGTCAAAAGGTGCCGCTTATTTGCTGATGATTTAATTAACGTAGCATGTTATTGTTTTTTATTTTTGTAATTATTTTACTTGAAAAGTTCAATAACATCAAGCAGACAAAGCCATATGATGCCTTATATTCGGCAATGAAATTCGAGGTGAAGAATTGTAAAAATAGTTACTGTCAAAGTAGCATCTCATTAATAATACACTTTTTCAGATTCTATTCTCACTCACTTCAGATTGATATTACGAGTAATAATTTTTATGGAAGAAATATCCATGTGGTCTTTGCTTCTAATTCTGACTGATCATTCTGAGTATGTCATTCCATGAAATTGCGCCCTCTTGTTTACGTATATATATTCTGGACTGTTGTAGTCCCCACATTCAATATTTATTTATATATTTGTTTTTATATAGGAAGTTTGCAGTGATTTTTGTTTACATACGATAGTATATAAAGTATACAGGGTGTCCCGGGACGCGACGTCAAGCCGGAACGGGGTGATAGGCCAGGTCATAACTGTTATCAGAAAAATAAAAAATAAAATCTATGTCATGTATTTTAAAAATTATGACCATTTTGAAAAAAATCGAGAAATATACACCCTGTGACGCATTTTCACTTCCCGTTTCTACAAATTTCCACTTTATTTTAATTTTTTTATTATTTTGTAACCCTGAGTAATGCTCCTGTAGCTAGTCGTCTAAAATTTTGACACAACTGCTCTAATTTTGAAAAAAAAATGACACATTATTCCTATATCAAAAGAGAAATTGAATTTTCGTTCAATTTCAACTCACTCTACCGAAAAAAAAATGTACTACACTGGTTGGGCAAGTAGCTTTAAAAGTTGGCGCATTTAAGAGGATTCCAAAATGGTATTACACTTGCTACTTTATTTCTTAGATTATGGTCAAATAATTTTTTTTGTGAACAAAACCGGTTTTCAACTATTTTTTATTTCTTAATTTAAATTTATTTAGTGTACCCAATCCTTCGCTCGGAACGGTAACTATGACATAATTCTTAACGGTAACTATGAGAGAGACGGAGAGAGCTATTCTACGAAGTGTGAGTGAGATAGAGAGTGACGCCGCTAATGTGTGA